GCCAGACAAAAGCGCGCAGGGCACTAGCAAAAAGGCCCTGAACCCTGATCATGAAACTTAGCCCCGAGTGTATCCGAGTGTTTCATTCTTGCTCACCACAGCCGAGTTCTGATCTATATATATATATATATATACATTATTATTATTATTACTATTATTATATTATATTCTGAGCTTCCAGGTATCGCGAGCTTCTGGCAGAGATGGGGATCGAAGGCCCGGGATTGGAGACTTCAGGGTCCGGGCTGTAGGGCTAAGGCCCACAGCAGTTGGGTTTTCTGGTAATTCATATGTGGTTTAGGCCAGGGCCATGAAGCCTACTATGTTAAACTTGATAAGGGGCATGCATGAAGGGCCCAGTAGGCAACTAGCTTGCCAGGATAGCATCCGCATCAGTATATACGTAATCTTCGAGGGCAGCATCTAGCTTCCTGCCTTTGCTAAACTCTCCGCCCTAAGCTCCATCCATCCCCCTAAACCCTAAACCCTAAACCCTAAACCCTAAACCCCTAAACCCTAAACCCTAACCCTAAACCCTACATGAGCCTGACCCGCGGTGTGAGGCATCGACATCCGCAACGAGCTGACTGCACACTCTGCTCAGGAGATCGGAGAACCCGAAGCCCGAACCCTAACAGGCTTCAGGGTTGAGGGTTGAGGGGCTTTAAGGTTTAGGGTTCAGGGTTTTGGGTTTTGGGTTCTGGGGTTTTAGGGTTCAGGGTTTTAGGGTTTAGGGTTTCGGCTTTTTGGGTTTTAGGGTTTAGGGTTCAGGGTTTGGGGTTAAAGCCGCAGGAGGCAGTATAAAAGGGTATTGGTACCGACCAGTAGGTACTACAATAGTAGGTGGTAGTGCGTAGTAGCAGTCGTGGTAAACCCTGAGCTTTTAAGTTCAAGCCTTGAAGCCCTAAAGCCAGCACCGAAAACTCTAGGATCCAAGCCCGAGACCCTGCACATGACCTAAGTCTCCAAAGCTCTACACCCCCAATCCCTGCCAGAAATGTATCTCCCGAAACCGGTCGCTTTTGGGGAACATACATCATACTAAGAATACAATATATAGGCTGAAGACCCACGGGCCCCACTCTTGGAAACCTTACGCTGCAACAGCCAAGCTCAAGACCGAAAGTAGGTCCAGCCTTTAAGGTCTCAAGACGACACTTAAACTCGGCAGCTTGATCTGAAACACGAAACGCATACCACAGTTCGCGGCGCTGTGACATGTTCCCACGGGGCCACGCAGCTTTAGAGCCTGGGTGCCGGGCCCAAGTGCCCGAAATCACCGAAACCCAACCTGCAAAACTACTGAGTTTTAGGGAGCCTGTGGACGACCAGCAGTCTGAATCTCCTAAGAACTGCGAGTGCCGGTATTTACTTGCGCAGCATGAGCTGTAAAACCATAGCCGCCATAGCCTTAAGGTTGCGAGCCTAAGGAAGCCGAGGCACCCCTAAACTCCAAACCCAGAAGTTGTTATCTAACCTGTTGCGCTCAGCACCGAAGCAAACACAGAGTACTCATATTACTAGTCCTTGGGATGCCTCAATATGAAGTTACTGTATCGGAAGTCTCAAATGCTAGTCTCAGAATGACGGCCTCTGTCGCACACCAGGATCAGTTAAGGTCCCACTCCTTCGCTTCCATAGACGTTGGTTTTCGGTTGGAGGTTGAGTTTAGGGTTGAGGGTTTAGGGTTTAGGGTTTAGGGTTTAGGGTTTAGGGTTTAGGGAGGATACTGCCCAAGGTTGAGTTTAGGGTTGAGGGCTTAGGGTTTAGGGAGGATACTGCCCAAGAACAACCGAAGCAAAGAACTCCAACCCCCTTTATTTATGGTACAATATACCTAATCATTAAGGCCCCTACAGTACCTGAACCTGTATACATCCTCAAAAGATACCCTATAGACCCCAATTCCTAAATCGCGCTGGTAGGAGCTTCCAAAGCTGGCATCTCAGAGCCATGGCGATTCCGCCAGCTTTAGGACTTGGGGTTTAGCGTTTAGGGTTTCGGGTTTAGGACTTGGGGTTTCCACGTGTAGGGTTCGGTCTGTTTAGTGTTTGGGATTCGGGGAGTAGGGCTTGAATCACGGTTTGGGGGGAGGTTTGATGCTTTCGGTGAAGTTGGAGTTGTTTCCGGTTTTGGGGAGTAGGTGTTGATCCAAGATTTGAGGCTTTCGGATTTAGGGTACGTGCTATTTCTGAAGCTGCTCGCTCTGCTTGGTTAGGGCTGGCTAGACCTGCAAAGGATTCACATGTTTTCGGGGGGCCCAGGGCAAACGACCTTACTACGTCGCTACATGAGCTTTAGTAGGGTCGTAGGGCCGTAAGTAAAGTCCAACCGAAAACCCGCATCATTGTGTGTGCAAAGCCCCGAGTATTACCTGTTTACTGCCAGTCCCCCCTTGGAGACCCCAAACATTCAACGCGAAATCTTGTTTTATTAACCCAAACCCTAATCCCGTAACCCGTCTGCACCCTCACAGACCCGCGTAGAACCCTTATTACGCCCTCATAGATCCCTAAACCTATAGATTCCATAGATTCCATTGAAAACCCTGACAACACGCCCAGAAAACCCTAAACCCTAAACCCTAAACCCTAAACCCTTACTTAGACCGAGGTTGGCGCTGGAGATGTTCGAAATCCTTCGCGATGTTGGCGAGGCATTTCCTGGCATCCTCAAGAGGGTTCGGGGCTGTATGTTTTTTAAGTATAGGGTGCTTTAAATAACTACCAATACTATTGTTTTCTTTTGGGGGGGAGGGGGTTGGGATCCTTATTATAAATATAGTGTAATGTACCCCCAAACCCTCTTCCAATCATTAAGACGGGTTTATAAGTGTGAAGAGTGAGGGTTCAGGGTTTGTTGACGGGTATGTTGGTGTCTTGGGGTTAAGGAGTTTGGTTTAGGGTTCGCAAGAAACCAGAAGACGACGCAAGCTCAAGCCCGAAAATCCCAAGCCACAGGGGGTTCGGGGTTTCGTGATCGTCCTGTTTGATCTTCTGGGTCCTCAGATCTGTGATCTGCAGGCCTGCTTGCTTGTGTCGGCCAGCCAATCAGGGCCAGTTAGATTTGTTATCGAGCCATGTCTGCGATACCTTTGTGGCCCGAGTTCAGGATTAACCATACGAAAGCAGTTTCAGCGTAATGGTTTCAGCTTCAACTGCCACGCAGTTCAGTAGGCCAAAGCACTGTATCGTGGACCGACAGCTACTTGGACTCCTTACAGGATCTTAAAGATGGAACTAAGCCATAAGCCCTAAACCGTGTGGAACCCGGAAAGATTACTTAGCTACCAGTCTATGGGCCAAGATAGGAGGGTGTTTTCTCCAAGATGCTCCGAGGGCTCCATGTTTGGATTCTCCCCATCAGCCTCAAACACCAAAGCGCGATGGCGCCCATATAGAGCACTCACTTTAAACGAGCCCTTGAAGGAACCCTAAACTCTAACCCCTGAGCCCTGAACCCTACATCCAATCAAAAGGGTCTGCGACCACTTCTGCCGGACAGGATCTGCACAGCTACTACCGGGCCTTCGGTGGCCACGTGGCGGGTAGGCGGGCCGGTTTGAGAGCCTTGGGTTTAGGGGTTATAGGGGTCCCCAAGGCTCCATGTACCCATATAGTAGATACTTCGGCCTTAAAGTACCTATATAGGGACCCCTTTAAGGCTTAAGTAACTACTATATGGGCACATGGAGCCTTAGGGGGTTAGGGATTCACAAGTTTAGGGATGTAGGGTTTTTAGGGTTTAGGGATTCGAGAGGTGCCATGTTCAGGTCCAGGTATCCTGTGGGAACGAACATCGTATTACACCATGCTAGTGGTTTAGGGTTTAGGGTTTAGGGTTTAGGGTCAAAACGATTGATCACCCATAAGCTTAGTATCCCGAAAGGGGCACGGACCCGAGAAAAGAACTCTGGATCCTGACTTGAACCGCTTCTGACTGAGGTAAGCCTGTATGTTCTGACAAAGCCTGCAAACTCATGGTGCTGACAAGGCTGCGCTGCAGCATTGCAAATGCATCTAAAAGTGTCGACAGTCTCTTGACAGCAATTTCCGTTACTTTAAGACGACTCCACAGAATGAAGAGAGCACCTTTCCACGCATGGCAGCTCGTCACCGAAGCCCGAAAGCCTAAGAACTCCCCTGGAAATTGTAAGCGTTGCTTTAAGACTTAGCAGGCATCATCAACTTGGGCCTGTGAAAAATGCTACAATGGTTTAGGGCTTTAAGGGGCTAAACCCTGCCGACACACCCTGCCCAGAGCAGGCCAGCCACGGATGTCGAGGCAGGGTGGCGCACCGTTTAGGTTCCAGGGGCCGCTTCTACGGAAACCCTAAGCCCAAGCATCTGCGGGAGTTGCTCCAAGACAGATTACGGACTGGTAGGATGCTCCTGGTAATGGCACCCAAAATGGAGGGTGATATTTTTTGATATCACCCCAAACATCTAGAATCTAAATCCTGAGCCATCTCTCAAGTTCTACAGCCGAACATCCGCAAAAGCCTAACATAGGAGCCTTAATAATTAGAATAGGATGTTGGGGCCCATTTTACTATAGCTATAATGAGGAATCCCCGAAAATAATATAGGTAATTCTTTAGTTTAGGCCCCTATATTGCTCTAAGTCCGAAGACCGTAGACTTGTCCTTGGAAGCTTCCAAGCCATGGGGCTCTCATTCTCCGGGTCAGCTTTTGCAATCTTTACTTATATATATATATATATATATAGTCATTGTCACTGTATATTAGATATATTTTTGTGCATGATCTATGACTGAACATTATTGCGGTTGTGATTATTGCTGCTATAATAAATTTCAAACGCTGTTATCATTTTCAGCATGTCATTTACTACGAAGGGATCCTATGTAGCAGCCCCAAATCCTGAACCGACATGCCATAAACCCAAAGACCCCAATACCCTAAGTCACAGATCAGCAAATCGCAAGACCACAGCAATTGCTCGGGTCATCTCTGAGCTGAGAAGAAGCATAGAGAAACATACCCGATGATGAGCTATTGGAACGCCTCCCCATGTAGGGCTATTCTAGAACCTTAGCAGCCCTGTTGGACCCGAAGAGGTTCTCCCGTTCCTCCTGGCCGTGGCAACGTCGTCTGAGGTCAATGTCGAGGCCACCCACTGCGCAGCTGCCATTCAGGCTTCGGGCATAAGTAGACGATGGATTTGTGTTGCATGAAGCGAAGTGGGGGGGCGGGGGCTGCCAAACTCAACCGTCAACCTGTTAAAATCTTCCGGAAGCCAAGGGGAAAAAGTTGTGGGCGGCTTCGGTTTGGCAGCAATGAGCCGAAGAGGGCTTGAATGCTGACGCCCAAGCCCAAGAAAAACACCATTATAAAGGCTTTTGCAATGTGGCGGTGCTTTGGTCCCCAAAGCCTGGACACAGAATTTGCACATCTTCCTGGGCCGAAGTATCAAGCTAGGTCCATAGACCCGTGAGGCCGAGGGTTCCGGCCCACTCCAATCCAAGAAGGGCCCAACATATACTATCAGTAGCTCCAAGATTAGGGTGTGTTTTTAGGGTTTAGGGTTTAGGGCCTTACAGGAGAGTAGGTTATGAGAGCATAACAATACAAGGAGCCCTTAACCTACAAGAGATCTTTGGGGTGTTGCCCCCTAACCCTAAACTCTAAGCCCTGAAACCAGTAACCTGTTGAATCCACAGGAAGTGAGTGAGGCTCGGCACTCCGAAATCGATGGCAGACCCTCCCTCCCTCGCACGCCCAAGCTCCGATGCCCTGTAGGGTCATCTCAGGCACTGTTTCGTCTACCTACGTTTTTAAATACCAGATCCGAACCAAAGGGGTAGGTACTTTAAAAAGGGACAGGGTATGACTCTCTAGGTTGGGTTTAGGGCTCTGGTTTTGGCATCTTGGTGTATGTAAGGTTTGAGTTTAGGATTTAGGGTCTAGTTTGATGCTGGCTTAAGATATGCAAATTTCCCAAATCCCCACCCTCTCCCTGCACTCTAGCCCCAAACCCGACGCGGATCCTAAGCTCGGAAAAACAAAGCAGTACTCCAAAGTCTCTCGGCAATCGAGCTCTGAACTCCTAAGCCCTCTGAGACCCATCATCCCCCAGGACCTAGAAGAGAAGGCCATGCTGATGGCTTCGTTTGGATGTCCAAGTTTTGGGTTTTAGGGGAGAGGGTTGAGGGTTACGGGCGTTGAAGGCTTCAGGGGTTTAGTATAGGGGTCTACATACTATTTTGGGGGGCTCCTTGTAATAAGTGTAGTATAACATACCCCCAAACCCTATTCTAGCTATTAAAGCCCCTACACTAGGGTTGAGGGTTTGGGGCCGGATTTTGGTTCGGAGATTGGAGCTGAACATGTAGAATCGTACGGTTTTGAACATAGTGGCAGCAGATTAATCCCTTACCCTCAAAGGACTCATATATTAAGGCTTTTGGGCCCAAAGACCCTATCGTATAAGGCTTTCGGACTATTCTGATGCTATCTATTGAGTCCGCGTAGGTAAATCTGGTGCACCGAGACCTTATTCAATGTTTGTTTAGGCTCCCTGTACGCGGTTGGGGTTTTGGGTTTTGGCATTGGGGTTTAGGCTTCGGGGCCTTTGCGGGTTTTTCGGATTCGGAGCCTGCGTTCTTGTTGTGCCACCGCCGCATGTTGTTGGACTCAAGGTTTAGGGTGCACACGGCTCAAGGGTTTATAAGGGTTTGGGGGTTTGGGGTTTAGGGATTATAAGGGTTTAGGGTTCAGGGCGGGACTCGACGCAACATGTTTGTCTCAACGCATGTTCCTTCCGAGTCTTCTCTGTGAAGATGAAGTTCTTGACTTGTCGGAGATGTGCCAACATGCATCGCAACCATGGCTTCCGAAATTGAAACATAAATTCACCCTGAACCTGCTATAATAGAGGCCTGCATAACTAGTAAAACATCCGAAATTGACCTGATCGCCGATAGCCTTTATAGTGTCCATCTAGTTTATACTAGGATAGGAGAAAAGCATATGTTAATACAGCCCCCCCGCAAACCTTGTCGAATTATCAAGGCCCCAACAGCAAATCCGTGCCTTCTGCTTTCGGAAGGTGCCCGAGTTCCGCACTGCCAGGGTTGATGCCGAGAGCGCTTCTCCCAGCGATATGACATGCCGTTCTACTTGTCATGCAGCAGTCGTACCGCCCTGCAACATACGTCTATCCACGCAAGCCACCACCGTTTCTTCAGTCACCCCGCTAATTTAGAATCCCAAGGCATGCGCACGGCCTCAACATACAGTATAAAGCTTTTTAGTTTCGAACCCCGATCCTCTACGTCCTTGATGCATAAGCCCCATGCATGTCAGCCTTACCTTGTCGAAACTTTAGATCATGCAAATGCTGCAGCCCTGCCATCACATCACAGTCATGTGCCCCAAACTTCGATCCCCAATCCTGAATGCAATCTAAACCTCGGCCTTACGTCCCAAACCCTGAACCGAAGCCTGCATCCTCGACGCGAGACCTCCGCACACGTGTGGATCTTATTTTCAACCCGAATGAGCCCCATAGTGGCTTAGATATGTTCTGGCTTGTCAAAAAGTTCAGATCCTGAGGCCTCTGCCCCAAAGTCCTATACTTGCAAAACCCGAAGCCCTGAACACCCAAAAAAACGAAGATCCAACGGCCGCAGATGCTCAAAGGTAGGAAAGCGCGGCGCCCACAGCCCGTGGTTGCTGAGCCTGCATCATGGCACGAAGGGGCTGGCGACATTTCAGGGTAAGAGAGGTGCTTAGTTCACAGCCGTTTAAGGTCTAGGGTTTCGGATCAAGTTGTGAGTTTGCGGGTCATTGAGGATGGCCCTAAACCCTAAACCATGGTAGCTTTGGTTTCTGGCGCTGTCGCTGATTGGCGGACCAGGGCCTCGAGAATGGTCTGCGATATTATAGCTCTCAATCTTGGGCCTACAGCCCTACCCGCAAGCCTGCAGTCGCCAAAGATCATGCTTCATGGTGTAGGGTTGTTGCATGTTGCTTCACTGACGGTAGACCTGAAACCTGCGATAATTGATGCCTTCTTTCGGAAGAGTTGTTGAGTTCCACGACAAATAGAAACGGCAAGACCACTTCTTTAAGTTTGCAGCAGGAAGTTTCTCCACTGATCTCACGGTTGGGGATTCTCCTAGTAACTTAGTATATGACTATAATCAGTCGCGTCTACACGGCAGCAGCAAGCTAGGAGCAGCAACGGTACTAAGGCTGCAGGTGCACGAAACAAAACCTAACCCAACCCTGAACGCCAGAACGCTAAAACCATTAACACCTGCACTTCTCAGAGGTAGCAGCAGGAGCCAGCGCCACAATAGTCCGGGACTTGGTAAGGTCACCAGCCTTTCGGGAGTGTCTTGGGGGTTGTCGGGCACAGAGTTCGACTAGTGACTTTCGGTATTCGTTCCATGGTTAGGACCCCACGAAAAAAGTCCGGGTACGCGAACAAGCAATGAAGAGCACAGGTAGGGTTCGGGTCTGCGTAATTTGGGTGAAAGTGCGCTTCCTACGATAATGAAGCAGGAGATCTGGTATCACCACTAGGACAGACCAAACATGGGCAGCGTGAAGACAAAGTTTTCTTCGAATATAAAGGAACATGAACAAGACTCGAAGGATCACTGATGACCTGCAGTCTGGGAAGCATGTTGCATCTCTTTTGGGTCGAGGTCCAGCTGGTTCAACCCAAAGATCATGTAAAATCTTCAACAACAAGTCTGTTAAGAGCTCATGCTTAGATCTTGAAACTTCGGCGGTTTCTCCTAACGGGTCTTAGATCGACCAGCCGTGCACCCGAACTCCCAAAATCCCAAAACGCAAGCCCGAATCCCCTACCGCCGTAATATAGGGGCCTGAATAATCACCTATACCATTATTTTGGGGGTTCCTCATTCTAATTATAGTATAATGGGCCCCAAAGCCCTCTTCTAATTATGAAGCCCCACAGGCCCTCAACTCTAAGCCCGGATCAGGATTGGGGCATCACCATGGCGAGTGAGGGTGCTGCTGACGCCGGTGTCTTGTCCACCTTTGGGATCCGAAATGCGGAAGATCACGCCATAGACTATCGACAAGCACATACAAACACCCCCTCTCCTCGAAGCTCCAATCGAACCTAATCCGACAATCCGTACCTACACACAGATAAGTACAACGAACAAATATCGACATATATATATATATATACACATAGACATGTTGTATAAAATATATACAGACACATAAACAGATATAAATGTCGATACAGATACAGGTATATATATATATATATATAGAGAGAGAGAGATGTAGATATTTAGACATAATGTGTCATATATATATATATACACACACATACACAAGCATACATACATACATACATACATACATACATACATACATACATACATACATACATACCTACATACATACCTACCTACATACATACATACATACATACATATGCATATGCATATGCATATGCATGCGCGTGTGTCTGTGTCGGTCCGTCCATCCGCTCACCCATCTGTCCACATACATGCATGCATACATGCGCATGCGCGCGTGTGTCTGTGTCGGTCCGTCCATCCGTCCACCCATCTGTCCGTCCATCCATCCGTCCACCCGTCCATCCCTCCACTTGTGTACGCAGACATGTGTGTGCATGGGTGAGTGACGCACGATGCAGCATGGGTCAGCCCGTTCAAGTGTTTTATCTGATGCGCCCCACGAAACGTGTTTGTGCACAGGGTTCGAGAGGAGGAATCCAGGACTGGTGATGTTCATGGTCTGTAAACGGAATTAGCACGAAATCTTGTCGGCGCTTGTGGCGGTGTTTTGGTGAGTGTATAATTATAGGACTCCTGAGGAATGTGGGTGATGGTATATTTGGACTGAATTTTGAGTGATGCAGGGAACAAAAGGGCTTGCTTTGCAGGTGAACCCTTCCTGCGGTTCATGCTAAGGTGGGGGGAGCCGCCGCTTTAGAAGTCGAGGAATAGCGGAATAGCGGTATCTGCTAGGCACGCAGCTCCTTAGAGCCTTGAGCCCTGCAACCTCCCCTGCCCCGGAACCCCAAGTCAGGGTCCCAATTATCTTGGAGCAAACCCGAACCCCTAAACCCCCAAAAACCTTCAAACCTTGGACCACCAAACTTCTGGCTCACGATTGAGGGTTCAGGGTTTCGGAGGTTTCTGGTTCCAGGTCCCCGACTTTCGCGCTTGAGGGTGTAGGTTTGTCGGCTCATGTCTAAGTGTGCAGGACTTTTGAACCCCGCGAATGTCAGACATCCAGAGGTCAATGCGCCATGTTTTCGAGCAAAGGTTCCTGGGCTTTGGAGTACCATACTTCAATACTTTTTGGGGGACCTGTTCCTTAAGGAACCATTATGAAATAAAAGTCTATACTTTTTTTCTCCTGGTTACTTCAAAGTCCAGGTTCTGGTGGCATCAACTGGGAGGTCGATGATGCCAAAGAGGCTTTTAGGGTTTAGGGTTTAGGGTTTAGGGTTTAGGGTTGAAGGTTTAGGGTTTAGGGTTTAGGAATTTAGGTTTTAGGGTTTAGGGTTGAAGAGGGGGAGCGGTTGGCTCTCTGGTTCTTCGTCAGAAATGGGGGAATGGGTTAGAGGGACTACTATACGTATACGGGACCGTCATAGGGATCCATTCACCCCTGTCATACTCAGAACCGGGGGTTTATGATGAAGAATTCAAGATCGCTTTGTGACTAGGTCTAGACTCCTTCAACTCATGTGCGCTTCGCCCAGCCGCTGTCATGTCCTTGCCGTTGCCACCAGATTAACAGGCTAGCTGCAGCGGAGACCCCGGGACTCCAGCTCCAATCCAAAAGCTTAACAGGGTGTATTCCACAGCAGAAGCAATCTTGAAAAGGGACCACTGGGTTCCATCAACCCCACAATAAGCATCTAGAGGCCTCTAATGCCTAGACACAAGATCTGGGTCTTACGCAGCCCAACATGGGGGCTTTCATGATTACAATGGGGGTGTCATTGCTCATACTGGCATTGCGGTCTGAAGTGCCGCTGCGCTCTCGGGCACCGTGGGCGAGCGTAGGATAAAGTCCCTAAACGTGGCAAACTGAAACCCAAATCCCCTAAACACTGAAAGCCCTGAACCTCTGTGCCATTGTTACAAAACAGTACTATTATGATTGTTATTATCCTTATTTAATAAAGAATGTTATTATTGTTATCATTCTTTCAAAATTTGATTATATCTACATACTATCGTTTTATATTCTTGATCTTGATTCATTTTTTGTAACCGCATACTACATGTTATGCGTTACCCTCAACTCTAAGCCCTTAGACTTGGCTAGCGCTCCTCCGTGAGGCGCCGGCGATCTCGACGACCGAGACAGGTGCCAATGGATATATTTGTTGCTAGGGTTTAGGGTTTAGGGGCTTTGGGTTTTAGGGTTTAGGGGATCTATTTAGGGTTTGAGGGTTTAGGGGTTTAGGGTGTTTCGGGTTTGATTTTCGTGCAGTTATGATGTGTTTGTGTGTGTGCGCGCACGCCCTATCGGCAAAGTGAAACCCACAGGGGCCCCTCCAAACGGGCCCCCGCTGAAGCCTGTGATACTTCTAGCAGCAGATAGCAGGGAGGAGGAGGAGGAGGAGTGCGATGTGTTTTATATTTTATGGCCCCTGCTCTAAACCATGAAGCACCGCCCTGTGTATTAATCGTACCTATGTCAAGTTGCTGACCTCGGTCTGGGTAGATGGTCGTTTACCATGGTCAGTTCCCAAATTGGGGATGCAAGATGGACATTGGGAGTTGAGGGTTAGCGGGTGAGGTCTTTTAAGGTTTCGGGTTTATATAGGGTTTAGGAGTTTCAGAGCAGCAAGCAGGTGCCCAAGGCGGCATCGATTGGTCTGCAATCTCCTTCGATGGCCTGGAGGTGTCTGCCGAGAAGGTGCCTCCAAGATGAACTTCGCTGCGTTTAGGGTTTAGGGTTTAGGGTTTAGGGTTTAGGCCATATGTCAGATAAACCCTAAACTCGAAACCCGCGAGCCCAACAGACCCCAAATATCCCTAGCCCTCACGCCGTCGAGCCCTAAACCTTTGACTCCCAGCCCGAAACATCCCGCTAATATAGAAGCCTAACTAATTACCTATATTATGTTGGGGGTTCCCTACAAGTATATTATATAATATACACCAAAAACCAAAACCCTAATTTAATTATGAGGGCTCGAACATTACACCCTAAACCACAAGCCCTAAAGACAAGCAGCTCCCTGGTCTGTGAGTCCTTGTATCAAGGATCCTAAGATTTTGGGGACTACCTTTGAGCCACCCTAGTTTGTTTTTCTGAACGGGCCCCACCCACAGTAGTATCTCAGGTTATGTAGGGTTCGGGTATACACTCGGGTTTACAGTTCGAGTAGTTGGGTCTAAGGTTTGAGGCTTATACAATGTAGGGTTTGCAGCCCTCAGAGTGTATAGGGTTAAGTTTTTAGGACACTCGCAGATCTTGCGGAGCCTAAGTCTCTAACAGGCGCTGCAAGCCCCAAAAGTTCCCATTCATAGCCTCCCTATAAGCTCGCACTCGCGATAAGTCCCTTATCATCCTTAGAAGCCCCTTACAGACAACCGTACAGATCCCATTAAATCCTTATAAACCCTTGCATGGGTGTCAGGGCTTAGGATGGCTTGGGGAAAAAATAAGCATCCCCCTCAAGCCCTAAACAGTAAAAGCCCTAAGCATTTGGAAACAGTCATGGACACCCTAAACCCCTAAACATCCTGCATAAAGCCTAAGTATCTTGCAAAGCCCTAAACCCTAAAGCCCTGCAACCCCAAGCAAACCTCAAAACCGTTAAGGCCCCAAAGCCCTGAACCCTTAAACCCTTATTCCCTAAGCCCCCTTTAAAACCCCTAAAGCCCCAAACCCCAGCCCCACTGCAGGATCCGGAAGATGTCGCGGCTTCTCAGGGCCCCGGGCTTCTCCTAGCCGACCATGCAGTGCGGATCTCATGCTGCTAGGGGAAGATCGGGGCTAGAATGAGTCGCACAGGCTTCCTTTAAGGGGGTCGGTAGGGGTTCTTTAGGTGCCGTAATAATTCGAGCAGCCTTCCTTTGAGGGTTCCATGGTGCTTCTATAAGCAGTTTTTGTTTGGATGGTTTTAGGGCTTGACATAGGGACTTTAACGATTAGAGCAGGGTTAGGGGTATTTGATAGAATTATAAGGCTTCACAAGCAGTTCCGTCTCCTCCAGTTCGCTTCGTGGTGCAGACATATATAGCGTAATCGTCGTATTGACTGTTCGTGTCGGGTAGGGAGCCGCAAGCATTCAGAACTGCATCGGTCTGATTGTTTCGGTCGGACTCCGGCAAGGCACGTGAGCTCTTGATGCGAGAGGTGGCGGAGGCGCTCAATAGAGGATCCATTATGAGCTTGGGGTTTAGGGTCTCGGTATATTGTCGGGGTCGAAACCCCTTAAGCCCCTCGCCCCCCTCCCCCTCCCCCGCCAAAGCCAATACCATCCAACGAAATACTTGTCCCTGCAGCCCTGTTGTTTTGCGCTTCAAACAAGAAGAAGCACAATGTAGATAAGATGCAGCAGCATCATGATAGATGACCTCAACTAAGCCCTTGTATTCAGAAGCCCCATAACGCACTGTGAGATCCGTGATGTTAAAGCTTCCTGACGTCTCTGAAGCCTCGCCGCTTGAGGGAGTGTCGAAGCCAGCCAGTGTGGCAGTTCTTGTTCAGGCTGCGATTGAGGATGCTACATTTCTGGATTTGGCGTTTTCGGGGTTAGGTTTAAGGTAGTTGCATTTGGAGGTGGTAAAAGCCTGAGGATTGTCGGGTTTTGGGTCAGGTGTGCCAGCTCGGCCCTTGGCCCAGCCTTATGATCCATTAAACCAAACACCCAATCCTTAAATTCAGCCCAAACCCTTAGAAGCAACAGTGCCCTCAAAAACGCTAGGAACCATCGTGAACCCCCCAATCCTTATACAAACCCTACACCCTCTAAGACCACCGTATACCGCAAGAAGCCGCTGGAGCCAGGCAGTAGCATTCCTCGTCGAGCGCTGTGCTGACCTCGCGGCCGGGGGTGCGGGAAGCGAGGCCGCGGGGCGGAAATGTGTATGTGTGTGTATGTATATACGTATATCAAGTGTGTGTATATCTATATATATATATATATATACACATAGTGTGTGTGTATGTATGTATGTATGTATATATATATATACAGTGTATATATATATATATATATATAGATATAGATATTATATATACATATATATATATATATATATATAGCTAGATAGATAGATAGATAGATAGATAGATAGATAGATGGATTGAGAGAGGGAGGGAGAGAGAGAGAGAGTATGGGGCATCAGGCTTTGAGAGCATCGCGGATATTTCCACAAGCGTTTAGGATTCCTCCTGACAAAGGCATAACTTTCAGAGGTATACTGCAATATACCGCCAAAACCCTCGTCTTACTATGAAGCCCTGTGCCACGACTGTGCTCTGGAAGCTTCGAAGTCCCCGGCTCTTTCCTGCAGAGCAGATGAAGCCCTGAATTCAGAGAGTCCCGAGTTCCGGTCATATCATTTAGGGCTTAGCCTTTCGGGTTCTGTCTGGTTTAGGCTCTGAGCTCCAGATTTCAAGGAGTTTGGGGTGTGCAAGGGGTTTAGGCTTTCGGGTTTCTATGCACGTGTGAGGCAGAGGTTACATCTCCAGCTCTGTTTCGTTCATGCCATTGTGAGGCCGAGTTGTCCGAAGCAGATAGCTAAGTAGCGAGCTCAAAACTTAACCTGATACCCCAGCTTGGAGGGTTTGGGTATGACAGGAGCCTAAACAATTACCAATACTATTCTGGGGTTCCTTTTTAGAAACTTATTATACTGGGCCCCCAAAACCCTATTCTAATTATTAAGGCCCCTATATTATGATAGTAGGTCAGGGTTTGTACTAGGGCATAGGGCTAAGAACTTTAGAGGTTCGGCTCGGCTGGGGTGGAGGCCCAACG